TTAACCCTTGTAAACTTCAGTTGCCTTCTGTCTAAAACTCCATGAGGAGTGGTTAACTATGTTACCTATTTCGTAGGATTATTGGGAGGTTAACTCTGGTGAAGTCTATAGTGAAGGTATTTAGAAGTTTGAATTAGATTCCCATAGCTGCTGAAACAAATTACCACAAACTTGGTAGCTAAAACACAATTTCATTATCTTAGAGTTATGAAGATCAGAAGTCCTAAATAGGTCTCACTATTCCAGAAGTTCTAACTAGGTTTCACTGTGCCTATTCAGGGCTCTAGGGCATAATCCATTTCCTTGCTTTTTCTAGCTTCTAGACATTTCCCAAATTTGTTCGCTTCTTCCATCTTCAAAACAAGCAACATCTCATTGAGTCTTTCTCACATTTCCTGACTCTGACACGTATCTCTTACCTCTGTTTCTTGCTTATAAGGATCTTATTATGATACATTTGACTTACCTGAATAATCTAGGATAATTTCCCAATCCTGAGAGTCTTAATTTAATTACATCTAATTACATCTTCAAAGTCTTTTTTTTTTTTGCCATGTAAGTCAGGTGAAATAATATTCGCAGACTCTATGAATTAGGACATGGACATTTCTAAGAGGTATTATTCTGCCTATACAGTGCTCAATCTTCATTATAGAGGCTGAGGAAAGTTTGGCTATTATCACTAGAACCATAGACAATTTCTTAAACATCATTAAATTGTCTTTGTTAGAGCTCTAAAACACATTTGAACTGCACAACCTTGATATAATTGACCTTCTACTGATAATTTAGCATGAATGAGCCACAGTTCTCTTACTCCAAAAGTGGGTTAAGTGATTCAATTTTGAAAATTAGTTACTTTGTGATGCTGGTGAGCAAGTAGTCTGGGTCTTTAGCTAAAAGTAAACAGTATTGATAAGACAGATGGTCCCCTGGAAACCTCCATTATGACCTTGAAGCGTGGAAAGAAGAAAAAGCAGGACTGACCAGAATGAGGTCACTATGAAGACTAGGCATAACCAATAAGAGCATTGCAGGCACAGCCAACCTGGAGGCTGCTTTCTGCTCACCTAATTAGCATAGAGATTGAGCAATACTCTGGAGAAAAAAGATAAAAACCTCATACCATGTCACTTTTCTGGCATCCTCTCTTGGGACCCCTCACAGCTCTGGAAGTTCTACTTTTTGCTACTTTTCTCTCTCAACAAACTCTCTTGCTTTACTGGTTCTCATTGTTCATGAAGTTCATTCTTCAGTTTCATGAGACAAAGGTCCAGAACACCGACCTTCCCTCTGGCTAAACAGCTAAGCTAGTAAGATTGAGTCCTACACAAATCTGGGATACACTTATAGTAAAAGGAGATTGGTGTTCATTGAAAAGTATTTTGATACCCCTAGGGAAGACAATATTTTAATATCATTACTATTACTATGTAGTAATGACTATGTAGCTACTGAGAAATTACTAGTTTCAAGAACTGTTCCAAGTGTTTATATGGGTATTGACTAATTTGATCTCAATAGTCAGTCCCTTAGGGAAAGTACTTTTATTTTCTTTATTACATAGCGGTTGAACTTTGCCCAAGGTTTTGTGGCTAGTTAGTAGTAGAGATGGGATTTAAACCCATACGCTCAGGCTGGAGAACCTGTACTGCTAACCAAAGCACCATAAAAATAGAAATGTAGGTAGGCACATGGTAGCTCGCACCTGTAATCCCAGCACTCAGGAGGCAAACTGCAGCTTGAGGCCAGCTAAGACACCCAAAAAACTAGATAGCATTTGCTGCCCTCAATGCAGAGAAACTAATGCAGATAACTTTAAAGCAACTGAGGCCAATAGGAGAAGGGGACCAGGAACTAGAGAAAAGGTTAGTTCGAGAAGAATTAATTTAGAAGGTAACACATATGTACAGGAAATCAATGCTAGTAAACTCCCTGTATAGATATCCTTATCTCAACTAGCAAAACCCCTTGGTCCTATTATTGCTTATACACTCTCTTAAAAAAATCAGAGATAAGGGCAAAATAGTTTCTGCCTGGTAGCGAGGGCTTAGGGGGGTAAGGGAGGCATCAGGGGGGAGGGGGGGAGAAATGACCCAAACATTGTATGCACATATGAATAAAAAAAAAAAAAATTAAAAAAAAGTTCGAGAGACGCCCATCTCAGCCAATGAGCCAGGCATGACAGTGCATGCCTGTGGTCCTAGCTGTGTGGGAAACAACAGATAGTAGGGTCACAGTCTGAGGCTAGCTCCAGGCAAAACAAAAAAAGAGTGGGGCCATGGCTCAAGTGATAGAGCACCTGCCTAACAAGCATGAGACCCAGAGTTCAAACCCCATATCAAAAAAAAAAAACCGTTCAAAAGGATGACATTGGAAGAGTGTTATAAGTGCATCTTTTTTAAAACATGCATACTAGATGGCTGCTGTGTTGGGAGATGGTGAGTTCCTAGAGATGTTTGAAAACAAATTTTCCAGTGAGTTCAAACACATGTTTTTTGGTTTCTCCTCCTCCTCCTCCTCCTCCTCCTCCTCCTCCTCCTCCTCCTCCTCCTCCTCCTCCTCCTCCTCCTCCTCTTCTTCTTCTTCTTCTTCTTCTTCTTCTTCTTCTTCTTCTTCTTCTTCTTCTTCTTCTTCTTCTCCTTCTTTTTTTCTTCTCCTCCTCCTCCTCCTCTTCTTCTTCTCTCTCATATATTTTCTTTCTCTCTGTTCTATAAAATTGCCTTCATACATAGTGTTTTAGATCAAGGAGGCAGCCTTCTTTCTATAATTGTTATCAGAAGTCAGTCATAAAAAGTCCAGTGCTCAAAAGACTTCTTCGGGTGAACAGATTAGTACACTTTCACTATGTGGTCATTACAAAGACAGAGGCAAACTGGGCATGGTGGTAGTGCTATACTCAGAAGCCTGAGGCAGGAGGATCTCCATCCAGTCAGCCTGGGCTACAGACCAAGACCCTGTCTCACGACACCCTCATGACAAACAAACAACAAAAAATGATAAAGGCAAGGTTATTAATAAGGCTAATCATTATGAACAGAAATGTAAGAATGTTGAAATACTTCATATAAGGAATTCATTTTAAGAAAACTACTCAGGGGTATAATCCTGAGGAATTGGAATTGGCACTTTTTTTTTCTTTTTTGCAGTGGTAGGATGGCACCCAGGCTCTCCTGTGTGCTGGGCAAGTGCTCTACCTCTGAGCCACATCTCCAGCCCCAGGCCCTGACTGGTATTGCTCAAAAGCCTGCTGCCTGAGCTGGATGCTGACTGACTGTTAGGTTTCCCATAAGTCAACCCACTTCATGTGCTCATTACAGCCGCATTAGCAGAAAGATCCCATTTTGTGAGGAATCTCTTCACACAGAAATAAAAGAGAACAACTAACAAACAGGTGAAAGTGAAATTATGTGTAATTGATTAGTAAATCTTTTACACAAATGAAATATATTTTATTTAGTAATCAAGCTGATCACATACATTTAGTTTTGATCTGGGATAAATTCCAAGTCATTTGAAAATCAAAAACAAATGATCCTCCAAGGCCCCTGTTACATTTGGCATTCACTCCTAATCCAACAGTTTGAAGAGCATGTTACCTGCATCATGGTCAGATTTGGTTTTTGTTTTATAGCCTTTTATTTAGAATCCTTTGTCAGATGAAGCTGTTGACCTTAGTTAGCAAGAAAACAGCTGCTTTTCTATTTTGATTTCTAGTTAATGTTTTTCAAGTGTCAGGCACATGGAGAGATATTTTTTCCATAGACTGATTTTAAACATTTTATTTATATTTCTTTTGTTTTTAATGGTTCATGGAACTATTTAGAAAACTGAGAGCCAATCGGAATGTTAACTGTAAGTGTTTTTAGACAAAAAAAAAAAAAAATCTCCCTTGGGTATTTCTGCGGATGGATCAATAGCACATTCATTTATCTTCCGTGATGTGCTCAGCTACAGACTATCTTCTGGAAGCAGTCAGCTGTCTATTTTGGCTGAGTTAAAAGTACCTGAGATCACTTTCATTGTTTTCACAAGTTCCTACCTAAAGACAAAGCTAAGGAATTCTCAATAGTCTTAGGTTTGGCTCTTTATTTTGTGACTTCATGGATCTTGAGAAGGTGACCAATTGGCAATCTTAGTTTAAAGTCTATTTCTTATTTCATAAAATTGTGCTTTATAACTTCTGGTCAAATACACAAGTAATTTATGTTCTCTTTTTTGTTTTGTGCTGTAATTAGAGTTTTGAATTGTTTGGTTTCTATGATAGAAGTCTTTGTAAATATCTGAGGCTAATTATTATTACCACTTATACACTGTGCATAGTTTGCTGAAATTTAGCAAAAACAATGGGGAAATAGGACTGAAGCCAACCAGGTGTCATTGTGTCTGTTGGTGGCAGATTTAGTATAGAGTGTAGAGCAAGGTGGAGCATGTGTCCTGGGTCCCAGGAACATACAATAATGGTGAAATTGAGAAACTGAGAAACTGGGAAGGATTCACATTTTTATTTGGGGTGAGTCTCAGGTAAGGTAGAATTGCCTTAAATTCTTTGGGTACCAACAAACCTACAGGGGAGACAGTCTTTAAGCCAGAAGTTCTCGAGAAAACCAGTTTCCTCACAAGACTGTGACTCGTGGTAAAGAGAGACCTCCAACTGTCCCCATGAAAGAGGTAGTTTTGCAAAATTAGAAATAAGGGCAAAATGGTTTCTGCTGGGTATTGAGGGGGGAGGAGAGGGAGGGGGCGGAGTGGGTGGTAAGGGAGGGGGTGGGGGCAGGGGGGAGAAATGAACCAAGCCTTGTATGCACATATGAATAATAAAAGAAAAATGAAAAATAAATAAATAAATACATAGGCACAATTTGGAAAAAAAAAAAGAAAGAGGTAGTTTTGGTGGCTATCACCTTGCTTTAGCATTCGATTCATATTTTTTTCTTTTTTTAGAATAAATACTTCTAGCAATGTTTAAAAATTTCTCTCTCCTCTTGCTCACTTTTCAGGAACATTGAAACAAGCCTACTTTAAATCAAATGGCAGTGAACTTTTGGTCACCGATGGTGAAGTTGAAATTCCTGATATTATTCTTATAAATCCAGCTTATAACAAGAGCACTGCGGCACCCACCGCATCTCCTAATGAACCCATTCCAGCCAGGACTACCGATGCTTCCCTCTCTGGGGAGCAGGGTCACAGGAATACAAGTAAGTCTGAAGGTGTAAGTGTACTTTGATGCCTGTGCCTCCTGCAGTGACAACTGATGCTCTGAATTCACAGTGACTTACTTGGTCACACAGGCAGCGTGCCATTCATCTGGGGATCTTAGCCAAGTGCCTATTCTTACACATGAAATGCTGGCAGTTCAACTGGCCGCACAGGCTGAGTCAGAAATGAAAGTGTATAATGTTATCCAGCATTTTTGAGACTTCAAATTTATGCTGTCTGGACCAATATGAAAGTTTGTGCTTCTGTTTTGAAGTTACGTGTTTAAGATGATTAAGTTGGTGAGTTAAGTAATTAATTTTGTGTTGGTTCATTGCTGGAAAGCTCCCCATTCTATTTCAGAATGGCAAGAGATTTAATTGGATATATTCCCTCATTAATCTTTGTGTGTGTGTGTGTGTGTGTGTGTGTGTGTGTGTGTGGTAGTGGAGTTTGAACTCAGGGCATCATGCTTACTAGGCAGATGCTCTACCACTTAAGCCACTTCTCCAGTCCTCTTTGCTCTGGTTATTTTGGAGACAGAGTATTTCTTTTTGCCCAGGCCAGCATGGACTGTGATCCTCCTATTTTATGCCTGCAACTGTGATCCTCCTGATCTCAGCCTTCTATGTAGATTGAGATGATAGGCATGTGCCAATACACCCATGTATTGGTTGCACTGGGGTCTCATGAACTGTTTGCTAGGGCTGACCTCAAACTGCAATCTTCCCCATCTCAGTTTCCCAAGGAGCTGGGATTATAGGTATGAGTACCAGCCCCCAACCCCATTTGCTCTTGAGGTGCCCATGTAGTCTTGTACCTTGCTTTCTTCTTTTTTTTAGCTGTGAAGTTTATTTTACATGCTTGTGACTGACAATTGCACCCTGAGAAAAGTTGCAAGTAAGGACAAATGGAGGGATCTGTTAGTTATTCCAGAAAAAAGGAGCTGGGGTGGGCAAAAGAGGAAAGACAGAGGGTGCCAACATAAGGCCAGTGAGACTGGTGTCAGATGTCATTCACTGGACTACTCCACACAGCACTGAGAGCTTTTGTAGAGTTACTTAACTTCCAGAAGGCTTGGTGAGGGTGGCTTGATATGCAATGTGCCAACAAGTTTCAGCTCTGGTCCAATCAGAGCTGATTAAAAAAAAATAATGATACCTTTTCCTGCTGTTGCTTTCTCTCTTATTCTCTAAAAGAAGGTTATGTAATTGGAAATTATACGAAAACCATCCATCCACGATCACTTTCTTTCCTCTCATTCATGAAAACCCACAAAGGATATCACATTGTGGATACAGGGGCAGAGTATTTATTTTTATTCTGAGTCAGGAAGGGAACGATTAAGTTGAGTTTAAGCTATCATGGCATGTGCTTCCCAGTGTTTGAGGAAAAGCAGGATTATTCTATTTCTCCAGCTCAAAAAAGACAGACTATGTGGATTCCATGGTTCTGCAGAGCACCTCCATGCATTAGCTGTTTCTTATGCTTCGTGGTCACCAGTGATTCATAGGGAAATGTGTTCATTACCTGACAGTAATACTGTCAACCAGAAGAATGCCAAGTTCAATTCATTTTCCTCATGAGTTTAATTTTGTGGTTTTATATTTTGCTCATGTCTTAAGCACTTCATTATTCTTTTTTTTTTTTTAAAGTTTACAATATTTATTTATTGACCTGGTATATTAATTTTATTAAATAGTTAGACATAATGAAAATAGCTTTGGCAAATATCTTTTTTTTTTGATCTCTTGCATTATACAAATTTTTTTTTCTTTTATTATTCATATGTGCATACAAGGCTTGGTTCATTTCTCCCCCCTGCCCCCACCCCCTCCCTTACCACCCACTCCGCCCCCTCACTTCATTATTCTTAAGGACAGTGTTTTCCACCAGAAGCAATTTAAATAAAAACAGTCCAGTTAATGTGGTTACAATTATAGCAACTGTTATTTTCTCTTACTAGATGGATTTGTCTATAGTTTGAAAGTTCTGCCATTTGTTAAGATTCAAATAAAGTTGACAAACACATACCCTGAGGAGTAAAGAAACACATGGCAGTTGTTTCTCAGGTTGGAAGTGTGATAGAAATCTGTTTGACTCATTTTCTCTTCCTATGGCTGGAACATTGCTTGAGAATATGAGCATAATTTGACATGTAGAGGAAATCCAGGTGAAGTTACAATGATTAAAAAAGAATGAAACCTTGGCATATGTGCCATTCTGTGTTGTTAATGTGCTTTGACAGTGTTGGTTACCTGTTGGCCCAGGTAGACCCTCAGTATGCCGTCACTGTCACTAAAAACTATTTATTGCCAGGGATTTGATAATATTTCCTACATTTCAGGAATATTGCCAGCTTGGGATTACAGAGTTTGTGACAAGTTTTCAAGGCATGATTGAATATTTTCTTTGTGATCCTTGTAATTAGCTGATGAGATTCAGGATAAATGATATCCTATGTCATTTTTCATGGTGTAAGATTGAGTTGGCATATCCAATATTGTTTGCTTAGTAATTGGTAGACATGAAATTGAGTCTCAGATCTCAGGACTTCTACATAAGTGTTCTTTCAGTATTTCATATTTCCTCATTTTATTGCTGTCTTTGCAGTAGTCAGAACATCACTACACAATCTTGAAGTATAGAAAGAATAGTCTGGATTTTTTTTTCTGCCATATATCCAGTACTCCATAAAAAAACTACTCGAATGAATAAATAAGTAAAGGAAGTCATTTAATAAGTTTAATACATGCTTCATCACTTTTGTTAGTGGTGTCTGGTCATACTTTTGCCACTTTCTTTTTATGTAATCAATTTTAAAGTATAATTTATTATCATGTTTGTTTTATTTTTTTAGTAACATCTAACATACATTCTGTTTTTAAAAATTCTCTCTCCCTTATTCCCCAATTAACATATTTAAAATTCCTGGCATCTGAAGAGCTATTTAAGGGGAATTTAGTCCCAAAATACGATGATTATTCTGTCCAACCTAGGTTTCTTGGGTTGGAAACCAAAGAGTAATCTCCTAACCAAAGGTACCAGGAAATAGTCATTGCCTCCTGTTGTCCTTACTATTGTGCCAAGGCAGAGAAAACAAAGTTTATAAAGTTTTGACCAGAATGCACTGTGTGGCACAGCTGGGCTTTCTGAATGTAAAATCAGCTTTATGTGATCTCTGTTACTTCTGGAGTTTCATGAATTGCATTTTGAAATCCAAGTGTAAGGAGGAAAAGGAAAAAGCTCACAATAAACTTTAATGTTGTGTTTCAGTAAAGGATTTTTGTAAGTTTCTGTCTGTATCTGGGTTTTAATTTTCCTTTTTTCCTTATACATTTTATAAGTATTTAAACATATGCTGAACTTTAAGGGAAAAACTCTGGCCAGCTAAGAGATTTTGGGTTACACCTAATAGAGTTCACACTAAAACAGCCTACGTCTATCAAGTACTGGAGTGACAAGAAAGAGGGTTGATGTGCTGAAAGTGTCAAGTATTCTGTTCTCTTACCATACCTTTGATATACAGCTTCTAAATCTTCTATTGCAGTTTTTAAAAATAAGTTCCATTTAATTTTTAAAATAATTGCTTTTTTGAAATACAATTCACATACTGTAAAACTTACCCTTTCAGTGTGTCTGTACAGTTCAGCAGTTTTTACCTTATTCAGAGTTAGGCAATGATTAACTCTAAGCATTTCAGAACGTTTTTATTGTCACACAAAGAAATGCCATATCCATTGCTCACTATTTCCCCTTCCCTGAAGTTCCTGACCTAAACTAACCTTTCTTCCATCTGTCTGTATGGATTTGAACATACCTTACATAAAAGAATAAGGGGCACTGTAGACTATATGTATCTGGCTTCTTTCATTTAGTGTAATGTTTTCAGGGTGCATCCATGTGCAGTATGCATTGAGACTTTGTTCTTTTTTAGTGCTGATTACTATTCCACTGGATGCCTTGGATGCAGATCTTATATTGGAGTTGCTTCCATCTTTTTGGCTATTGTAAATAATACTGTTGTGATTATTCATGCACAAGCTTTCCTATGGACCTATGTTTCCAGTTCTCTGTGGTTTATGTCAAGTTATAGATTATATAGTTTCTTTAGTCCGTTAATTATCTTCTGTCACTCAATATCTTCATTCTTCTTTTTTTTGGTTTATTTATTTATTTATTATTCATTTATTCACATGTGCATACATTGTTTGGGTCATTTCTCTCCCCTGCCCCGCCCCCACCTTCTCCCTTCTTCCCCCTCCTTCCCCCTTCAGTTCCAATATCTTCATTCTTGAGAGTGGGTATTGAAGTCGCCCACTGTTATTGCAGAGGTATTTATTTCTCTTTTCAATTCTGTCAGTGTTTGCTTCGTGTATTTGAATGGTCTGTCATTACGTGTATGCATGCCTATAACTGGGGTTCTTTTCTGTCATATTGAACCTTTTATTAACATATAATGTCCTTCACTTTCTTGACTAAACTTTTTTGATTTAAAATATATTTTGTCTTACATTAGGCTAGCCATTCTATTCTCTATGGTTACTATTTGGATGAAACATATTTTCTTTTCTTTCACTTTCTATCTATTTGTGTCTTTGGATCTAACTTGAGTTGCTCATTGATAGCATATAGTTGGATCATGTTTTTTTTTTTTCTTCCATTGTCATAATCTCTGTCTTTTGATTGGGGAATTAATTTAATTGATTTATAATTAAAGTGATTACTGGTAAGTGGGAACTTCTGTCATTTTGCTATTTATTTTCTATATGATGTATAAATCTTTTTTCCTCATTTTTGGCATCACTCTTGTCTTTTGTGTTCAGTTGATACTCTCTTTGTGATAACATGTGGAGTACATTTGCCATCCCAAAGTTATAACATTCTAACTTGAGTTTTTGTCACATTGATGTCAATAACATAGGAAAATAACTCTGCTCCTTTAGCAGCTCTGTCTTACCCCTTTTTGGCTGTTGACGTCACCAAATTACATCTTTAAACA